AGTGATACACAGTGACACTGCCCCCACCCCCCACCCCACTTGATGACCAAAGGCTCAGCCTGTTCCCAGCTAACGATCCTGGAGTGGGAGGGTCCCAAAACTCACAGAACGGAGATAACTGTCCAAGCGTCCCAGACCAAGGGCTGACCGGGGTAAGAAGGGGGAGTGGGGGGTGGGGAAAGGCCTTGGGAGAGCGATCCAGAGCCAGAAGAGAGATCCAAAACCAAAAAGCCTCGGAACAAAAAAGGGGTGATCTTCCGGAAGGGTCCTCGCCTATATACTGGACATGACATGTATGTTATGGAATAGATTATTGGCTATTCTGAGTTTTCAGTCTTAATCTAAGAGCAAATCCTAGGCTAGCAACCGGCTGTGCCTCTTCGCTCGCCTGCCGACCTTGGCAGCAGCACAAAACATCGGTTCTTATCAGCTCCTTCTGAGCACAAATCCAAAACACAGCCTCTTGCTAGCTATTATGAAGGAAGTTAACTCTGTCTCTGCTTAACCCAGGACACGACCAAAAGTTTGTAATGATCCGAATTTGGAGTTTTTATTCACCCATTCTAGAACAAAACTATATGTGTTAAATATGGTGTGAAATTTTCACCCTTCCCAGACACTTAAGGCACATTTTACTTAGTCACACAGTATCTTCTCCTTTGGTAACCGTTGTCAGATACAATACCTGGATCAAATTCTTCTAGGTCATCTCATATGCAAAATCAGATTTTTACCATGAATTAAACCCCATTGTTTGACACCATTACTACAACCAGTACTTACTCTTTCATTGTAAATATTCCCAAGTAATACACACGCATCCACCAGGCTTTGGCTTGAATGAGAGTCCTCAGCAGCCTTCATAAACTCTCCCAAGGATTTCATAGTTTCAGATGCTCTTCCCTGACTGAAGCAAAGGACAGGGACAAAATTAAATATTCACTCAGATGGCTTCTCCAAATACTGAAGAACCATCCCCCTGTTCTGCACTAACTTTACTTTGTGATGACTCATCCGTGACTAGACTTTTATTTCTAAGACAGTTGTCTAGGCACTACCTGTGCTGAGACCAACGAGACTAGTCCACACAGAACCTCTGAGGGCAGACCTGGATCCTTTGAGTGAAATAAACCAAAATTCTTCTTCAGAATATTGTGCCATATTTTAAGGTCAAGAATGAAAATGCAGGTGATTTTACACATTTTTTGGAGTTTCCATTATATTTTTTTTTTTCTACTGAGCTGCTGATAACATTTTCAGTGTAACTGGACCTCACATCCTGACAAAATAGGGGAAGGAGGTAAGAAGGCTAGTTTTCCAGTAATGCTCCTGGCATTTAGAGCTCCCATTTCTTGCTCTAGAACCCTGGTGGTTAAAACTCTGTCTCTGAGGTCTGGGGATGACAGCCTTTCCCGAGTCCAATGCTGTACTTTGGCTAGGTGGATCAAAGGTTGCTGGAGTCACACATGCAAACCTATCAACTGTGGATTGCAGGTGTCACCCCCAAATCCCAGTGAGATCAGAGCAACCTGAGGTCACAGCTGAATCCAAGTTGAAAATTGGCTAATGCACTTTGACAATAACATTTGCAGATTTCCCCTTTTTTAATAAAGCCAGTCATATTAACAATATAAGGTCTCTGCATTATGATTACAAGATATACGATGGACATGTGGGTTTGCTTGTGAGTAAGGCACTATGCTCTTCTCCCTTTAAGGCTGAAGCGTTACTGCAGCTGACCTCAATATTAGCCATGAACTTGAGTCACTAATGTAGGAGCGTAGCATGCTAAATGTCAAGCTGCCAAGCAAGACAGAAGATCCAGTCTTAACTAAGAAACTCACAGAAAGAGAAGTTCCCATAAGTGATAAAGAACTGCGATTTATTTTCTCACTATTTTAAAACATTTTCAAGTTACAGTCCTGCAGCAAATGACTGACTGGGGTTTATTTATATTATGGTTTTTTCTTATAAATTATATTAGTGATATGTGCTTTCAAAATCTGTCAGAAGCCTGCAATTCCCTGTCGTATGATATCAGAGTAACTGTAACAGGGTAGAGCCTGCCATGGAACAGGAAACACAGCAAAGCATAGCTGCAAATTTACAACATTGCAGTGATTATCTGCATGTGACTGAGATGAGCTGGATTGCTACAAAAGGATGCTAAAACAGTGCAAACTAACATGCTCGAAGTATATTTTACTGTAAAGCTTAGTTGTCAACAAGCAGAGGTGGATTTACGAAAGTTTCCTAATTTAAGTATTTAAATATCATGAGACTATAAAATATACTGTACTGTAAACATCTGCCAAATGTCAACAGGCTTCTAAATTTTAGAATTAGACATATATTTTTTCAAACCTCTTTTTTTCCTAAGAAGAGAAAATCGAATGTTTCCCCACAGAAATATAGCATATGATTTATATAAGTTAAAGGACAAGGTTAAAGTGTTAGACAAATATTAATTCCAGTTTTTCTAGTTTTCTATATGCAGTGCACAGGTGCAACTTGAAGAGCATATTATATGGTATAATCATTAAATCCATTCAACCAGACCTTTGAGAGTTAAAAACACATATTCTGAGGAAAAGGACTCCTCGGTCCAAGGAATGAGAATGAAACAGTGCAGAATATTTGTGTATCAAGGTGATTCCAGTTTCCAATTGGGAAAACAGGACTGTTAACACCCTCATCCCCTGACAACTGTCCAATTATGTATATCACACTTGGCCTACTGTTTGCAGTAGAAGTAATCAATAAAGGATGTGGTTGAGTGAACATAGATTTTGGTTGAACCAATGCATGAAAACTTAATCATTTACTCAGAGTGGAGAAATCAAATAGAGCAGAGATGAAACAGCCACTGAGGGGTTTGTTGATTGTGCCACCAAGTTTGTGGGCTAGAGGCTGAAAGTAATAAAGCAAATGGAATCAGTGACAGAAGAAAATGTAAAAAGGTTTTCTTAATTTCAGGAATTAATAGAAATGTTTTGACGTATTTTTGGCCACTTTTTATATTTCACATAAAAACCCATGCTCCCCATACAGGTAATATGAAAATTGTTAGGGCATGTAACCTCTTTCAAGAAAACAGAAATCAATTTGATACATATCAGAGAGATATTTCTCACTGTCAGAACTTCACTTATGCCAACTAGCAATTGGTTGGTGCTGTTTAACAATTTTTCAAAGAAAGTCCTTTTAAAAGCACTAGAGCTTGAGATATTTAAAGTGTGCTAGAAGGACTACTGAAACACTTTACCCTGCACAAGACCTGGTAACATGATAAACAGGTCTTTCCCACTCAAAGAGCTAATATTTTATAGTTCTTTCAAAAATCTACATGTTATTTTACACAGCCATATACTTTCTATCTCCTTAGACATCACCTTCCTAAATGCATAAAATGCAATTTCCTAAAGATATAGTCACTCATGATCCCACAGAACAGTTATGATGACTTCAGCAGAAGAGATTACCTATCTACAGCAACTCATTTTCCGGTTTCATGCTAAAATGCCCTATGAGATTTTTACCCCTATTAGACTTTTATGAAAATATGCACCTTTTATAGGATTGCTCATGTGATTGAATTGGATGTATAAATCATGTGTCCACAAGAAGTCATTACCACGGTGGACACTGGCAGAATAAGTCAAGTACACGATGCTATTATGTCAGATTTTTCTCTGGAAAATGACATGCCTAAATAGACATGATAGAGAATTTCAGTTTCCCGTGGTCCATGGAAACATGTGCAGCAAAGATTTCACAAAAAAATCCAAAGCCACAGACAAGTTCTGAGTGATTTGGGAGGGCTCAGGCACTTTCTCCAAGCTGTCACAAGGCAATTGGTGCAAATTCTCACAGACATTACGGTTATAACGCATTATTTTAGGGAAACACAGTCATCTTTTCTTCGTAAAGACATTATCCATAAAATGTAAGATGATTTGCACAAACCTAGCCTAGATGAGGTAAAAATACAAATAAAGAAAAAGTGATCAAGCTGTCTGGAGACTCTGTCACCAACAGTAATTATTCATGCATTTATCCAATATTTTCTAAACAAGCTTGCCAGAAATTTACTTGTTTTCTATACCCCAGGAAAGTAAATATCCACAAGTTTGGTGTGAGAGTAAACAGAAACGTACAATACTTATTTAATGTCTCTCTTTACATCGGTTTTCTGTGCCCTTTCCTCCTCTAGCTACTAAGGAAGAACCAGCAGAACTCGACAAGCATGATTTTGTTAATGAAAAACACTGTTATTGAATTTTGAAAAGTAGGTTTGCCTGAAATATCCATTATCCTGTGTTACAGAAAACTTTGTATTATGTATGTATTATTCTTGGCACCCTCCAGCCAGACCGTTGCTTTTTGTGAATACAAAAACCCATGAATGTTACTGAGAGCTCAGACACCTTCGCACCCATTGCAAAGTCACTCATTGCAACAGCTGGTGTCCCAGCAACTAAATCTTTCTCAGTTAGCCTTAAGACAGTTTTGAAAAAAATGGGACCTGTTATCCTAACTCTAAGTTCCATGGCTTTCTGAACATCTTATCCCATGTGCTTATTTAGGATGCTCAGAATATGAATAGCAATGAATTATGTATCAGAGAGCTGAAGAGCACTGTGATTGTGGTTGGTCCCTGTATACAACGAATGGCCAAGAAGCAAGGGCATCTTAACTCAAACATGAGAATTTGCTCTGCACACTGAAATAAATCTGGTGACAAGTCCTCCTCCATAAACATTCTGTCAACCTCTACCATGCACCATAGGCACCGAAGTCCTCAAACACAGGATAAACTACAACCTTAATTTTATCTTTTTTTCCTACCTGATATAATAATGGCATTATACTTCTTTATGTCAAAATTATTTAAGTAGTTTCAAACTAATTCACCTGGAAAAAGATTGTACTGCCAGATGCTGAAACAAAAACATTGAAGACAAGCATCTTATTTGCAACAAATTTATATCTAGTTTCACATGCACAAACCAGAAACTCTGCAGAAGTGAGTGCAATAAACGGAAACTTAAGAGTTCAGGAAAGATTACACAGAGACACCTATTGAAGATTGCTACATTCTTCAAGATTTTCTGTCTTTTTTAACCTCGAACATATGCCTGGATTTCTATTTTCCAGTAAGATCCTTCCCAAACCTGTGGGGAAAAAAAATTTAACAGCCCCCAAAATGTGGGGAAAAAAGAGCATATTATAGTTTACAGGTAAAGAAAAGCTAGGATCATACACTTTAAAAAATGTGTACCAGTTTAAAATAACTTTTGATGAAAGGGTCACTTACTGCAAGAAGGACACTGCTTAAAATTTAAGCAGTCAGTAATGGGAAGCGACAGACCTCTAACAATTTAAGTCTTTCACAGTTGAATGAATCTGCACTGACAGCCAGACAAGGATGGGCTAACCTACCTCACCAGGATCTCGGCTAGAGCTGCATATGCTCTTCCTAGGCCAGCAGAGTCACAAAGTGCTGTGAAGATTTTTACAGAAGTGTTCAAAATCTGTGAAACAGGAAAACAAAAACCCAATAAATACAATACTAAGATTTTCCACTTTTTTTTCCAGTCTCTGTGACCACATAAATCACAAAATTAAAGTTTTCTCACCTGTACATTTCTTCTTTAATCAGTTGTAATGGACTAGGTTTCTGATCATTACTTGCTTGAAACTACTCAATGATTATAAATTAAAAGGATACAACTTGCATTTAAATCCCTGTATTTTGGCACATTGCAAAAAGCAAAGAGATATTACCTGATCTGCAACATAAATTTCCTTATCCATAATTTAAAAGATTTTACGAGGCTGTGTTTTATGAATTTCTGTTAATCAATACTTTAGGACGGTACCCTTTGCATTCATAGTGTTTTAGACTGATATGCTGAAATACAACTTAATATTACTTTTCTTTCTTTAAACTGTCTCTGTGACAACATTTCTTAGTACAATCCAGATACCCCAAAAGTGAATAAATTACAGGTAATATATTTAAACTATGTTGGCTTATAATACTGTAGATTATTTTGTTATTTCTATGACTGATTATTCACTAACTCAAGCAACTTGTTAACATTTGTTTGGAATGTACACTATAAAATAAACACGATCGCTCCCACAACCGAAGGCTTACAGCTGCTGTTTAAAAAAATATGATCTTAATTTAATTTAACAGTGACATCACCTATACTGCATAATTTCTCTTTTCATCCATCTTTTTTTCCAATGGTGATGATGGGAGAATGCATATAAAATTAAATCCTATTCTTCCCTCCCTCCTCTTTGTTGCTTGACCCAACCTATTACACACATGAGAAAACAGGAAATCTCCAAAGACTACCTATGGAAATCCTTTTTTGCACATTTCCAAGAAAAGAGTAGTGAATGTCATTTACCTGCTTTGAAGGGGGCTGGGAGGTGCCCAGGGACATATGACAATATCCTGCATGCCCCAAGATGCCTGTTTATGCTGCGGTAAAAGATAGGGCATTTTCTCCTAAAACTGTATATCCTGTCACTGGCAAAGCACATGGTTAAAAAGAAGACAACTTCTGTGTGCTAACGCTATGGATGTCACCATTTCTATCACTGCAACTCCATGCAGGAGCATCCCTGGACAAGGCTCTTATCTCTTAGTTAGATAAGGTCTGCATGCACAAGAAGTAGCACTCAATGTGCACTGCAGTATTTATCCTCCCTCAAGTACTCATCGGTTACGTTCTCATGTACATCAGCATTGCATCCTGTACTTGAAGGTCACTGTCAATTGAGTTATCAACGCATGAGATGTGACAAAAAGAGAGTCAAAGCGCCTCGGTTAGGAGCTTGTCACATCAGTTCAGAACTTGCCCTAAACTGAAAGCATACTCAAGGTTGTCAAGACCAGCAGCGTGTCCTTCTAATAGTCCAGGCTGGTCGCAGAAACGCACGCAAGCGTCCAAGAAACAGTTCTGGGTTTTGCATTTAACTCAGAGGACCTACAACGTTTGTTGTAATAGTCATGTCCATATCAGAAAACCTGCCATAATAATGTCAGGTTTCCAAAATGTTATGTACTGGACTGAAAAATCACTCCGACTTTAAACTGGCCTCTACAGTATTAAACTAAGACACAGGGCCTCTGGTCGTTCCCATCTGGCACAGAGAGGTGACTCAGGCACCTAGAGGCTCAGAATACTGTCCTTCTATCAAAGATACCACAAAGCCTAAAAAGAACAGATAAAACCAAGGAAAAACCATAGCCAGAGTAGCCAGAGTAAAATGTTGGTTCACTACCTCTCTGCAACCACTGCCAGAAAGAACTATGTAAATAAATAAAGCCACTCATTCACACTGATGAAAAGTGCTTGGTTTCGGTTCCAGGTTACTACTACTCTACAGAAATCAGGTGTTTCATTCTAACTAATGATGAAATAACGATAACTAAATCATCTACATGAAAGGGAGAAAATCAGGATAAATGACAAGAGAAAAGATACTCTTTATGTCTGCATTTCAAATAACTCCTCCAGCTTCAGATACTATGTAGGGACACAGAAAGGGACACATCCTTGATGAAAGGAGCCGTGTAGTGACGCTGTGTGTTACAATTGCCCAGCGTCCATTTACGTGGAGGAAGTGAAGAGGGGCCTCCTCCCCTACGGTGCGTGCCTTGCCTTCAACATTCAGGATGGAAAAAGAAGAGGAGACAGGGCTACAATTATTTACAGTGTGTAAATAAAGTAAAAAGCTCTGCTTAACTCCTCAAACTAGAGCCTATTTGTGGTATAGCTCTTGCACACGTTCTCTAGATAGTTGTGAATTTCATGTTTACCTCCTTTGCCAAGAGAACTATTAGTCAGATCTCAGGCCCAGATTTGCCTCTCAGTTATCTCAGCATTACGCCAGTGTGACCCTCCTGGGGTTACCCCACTAATATAAAATAGATACACCAGCTCCTCCCCTAAGACTCTTCCTCCCCAAAATCTCACCCTCTATTTTTTATTATCATATCCGTACATCTTTTATATATACATACAAACATGCACACGCCTCATTAGCACGCACTGAGGACTCAGACAAAAGGACACAGGCTGTGCTAACTACTGATACATCTGGGGATAATGGACAAAAGAGTAAAAACTGAAAGTATGAATTTCTGTTGAATAAAGAATGTCTATTCAGCTCAACACAAGAGTTATGCTACTACTATCATTTTGCTAAAATACATTACTCAAACAAAAACATGATGGGATAATACTGATTTATAATATTGTAACTTTAACAATGACAAAAACATAGTTCTGCTCTCAGCTTTGCATTTAATATTGGTGTCAAACTTTATTGAAAGAAATTTATTTTGATTTCTGAAAATCTAGCTGCATTTAGCCATTTCACAGCTGGTGAGCAGTGAAGATGCTTCTGCCTCATTTACAGATCTTAAACATGAATCAGACAATCAACCGCAACATTAGTCAAAGAGATCACCAACTAACAACTTCTGACAGGCGCTGCAGTAACAGTCTAAGGCCCGGCCTGGCTAGCAGCATCTGACAATATTTTTCTGGAGCCAACAATAGCTGTTGGTAGACAGACAACACAATGGAGTGAGACTACTGGCCTCATGCCACTTGGTACCTCTTAAATACTTTCAGAAAAAAGACATAGCCCTGACAGTCAGTAAATAGTCACTGCCATACAGTTCAGTGAAAATAAAAGACAATAGAACTGTATGCACAGGCAGTTCAGTGAACTCTCTCCCATAGCTCCCCAAGAAATGCGTATTTAAAAATGCCTAAAAGTGCAGTCTTTATTACCATAATCTGAGTGGTTACATGCCTGTGGCCATCCTGAGTAAGGTAACAGAAGTGTTTCACAACACAAACCCACATGTATTCGTATTTTGACCAAAACACAGTGTTAGAGAGGTTGGACCTCAATAAGAAATCTGTACTGTTCATATAAGGTATTGATTACAATGAGAGGAGCTCATCAATGCCAGGAAAACAATACCCCAATATCAACTGAATGACAGGCCACCCCTCGTTAAACACTAAACGTATTCAGGCAGAGCGAGCATCCATGGCACAAGTAGCACAGCATCACGCCTGCACGCTCACAGATGAGCGATACTGAAACTGGGTGCCATGCCGAGGAAAGAGCGAGTAGTCCCAGAGCTGTTAGTTCTCCCTCTTTTCCCACAACTGAAACCCACCATTTCAAATTCTGTAAAGGTGAATGCTAACTCCCTGACCTTAGCCACATCCAATTACACTGGAGTACAGTTTTGATAAATAAATGTAAAAAAAAAAAATTTAAAGTGCACAAACTTTGTCAGTGTTCCTTCAGAGATAGAAAGAATTTGTCTGGTATTGGCCAATCTGGTCTGTTCCAGAACTGCTGTTCCAGGGACTTTAAGGTGGGTATTTGGATGATGCACAGCATGAGCTTGCATGCTGACGCAAGGGAACTGGGGACAGGGGTATGGGGAGGGATGCAGCAGAATCCACCCAGAAGTCTGGCCAAGTCCAACATCAAAGCACAACACCCTTGTTCAAGACCTTCCCCAAGCTCTTGCTGGAACACGGCTATCACTGAGGTGGTGCTTGGCTGACGCTCCCTGAGGGGTAACTGCCCATCCACTCTGCCCTCTGCCCTCCCCTGTCACTCATGGTTGTCAAGTGCAATGTTTACCCTGCTGCTCTATAAACCTGCACAGCAATACATGCTTCAAGTTACATGTGTCTGCATCTGCTTGAAGGATTAGAGAAGGGACAACAAACATTTCACTCACTCCTTAGCAGTCAATCAAGATAAGATTTAGTGTTCCTTGCCTGCATCAACTGTTACTTGTATGCTTTGCATAATATTCAGAGTACGTACATTTTGCTTTGATTCTGCATGGATGATATGTAAATACAGGTAACTAATTGAAAAAGTTCCTTTCCCCAGAGCAATTTCTAACTTCTGTTGGCTTTCATGAGGTCAGTAGTTCACCCTGTATGTTTCACTTTGCTGCACAGGAAACTTAAAAGACATGAAATGTACAGATGATTGAATAAACATTAACTTTTGTTCCCATCCTTCTTATTTCTTCTGTATTAGTTTCTGGATTACTGTTCTCAATTCTGGACTTTGGTGCCACTAGCAATGATATTAATTCTGATTTTCTATACCTACAACTTTATAGGAATGCAGCCATCATTTTAATTTTTACTATACATCATAAAGGGTTTTATTAAAACAAACAAAAAATTAAAAAAAAAAAATCAGTCAAGCCCTTCAGAGCAAAAACCTATGCAAACATCAAACCCAGGCATTTTAGTTTGTTATTACTGTACAATTTGAAATCTTTACTGTAAGAGACATTACTCTAGTAAAGGTTGTTGCAATCTTTACTTAGCATGGGAAGGTAATGTTTTCCAAACCAGCCACTGTTGACATATTTCTTCAAAATAAAGCACGGCTTAACAGTCTGGAGTGAAGAAGCTTCATCTGTTACCCTTTAACAGCAATATAAGAGGAA